CCTTTGTGAAATCAGCAGCCTGTTCCAGAAAGAACAAGGTGGGTGAGGAAGAAAAGAACAAGCGCAATAACATTGTCATCCCCTATGTGTCTGGGGTATCTGAAAAACTCAGGAGGATTTTCAGCAAACACCACATCCCTGTGTATTTCAAACCCAGTAACACACTCAGACAAAGACTGGTACACCCAAAAGACCGTACACCACACACTCAGAAGAGCAACCTAGTGTACGCTGTTCAATGCAGTGAGGAATGCCCAGACTTGTACATTGGTGAAACAAAACAACCACTAAACAAACGCATGGCCCAACATAGAAGGGCTAACTCGTCAGGGCAAGACTCAGCTGTCTATCTACACCTCAAGGAGAAAGTACACTCCTTTGAAGACAGCAATGTGCACATTTTGGACAGGGAAGACCGATGGTTTGAAAGAGGTGTAAAAGAAGCCATCTATGTGAAATTGGAAAAGCCATCTCTCAATAGAGGAGGAGGTCTGCGACACCACCTATCCCCCACCTATAATGCTGTCCTTTCATCCTTGCCCAGTAAGCTTAACAACTTAACCTCTAAAAACAACGGTCGTTCACAAATGGCCTCATGTGACTCTAATGACTGCAGTGACAACCGTTGCAGGAGGAGTTTCAACTACTGTCGTTGACACACCATTGGAGCACTAACGAACCAGTGACATCATTGGCCTTGTGAAGACCTCCCCAGAGGTTAAATACCTGGGTGCTTCCACATCAGTTTGTCAGACTAGTTCCAGCCTAGTCAGACAAGCATGAACTGATGAAGCCTCTTGGATAAGAGGTGAAACGTCTTCTAAGAAAAAACCAAGTCCAGTTGCGTTCGATTCAATTGCCTTGAGACTTCATTTTCCATGTTTATCATAAGTGTGTCATGTTGTGTGGGACTCACACTGATCTGGTCTTGGTTTAGGTGGTCTTGACTACAGCGCTGAGGGGGAATGCAAATGTCTGGACTTCACTGGACTTGCAGACTCTTGGACTTTGCGGGTGCACTCCCATAGAAGTCTACGCGTGCTGAGAGCTGTCCAAATCCACAACTCATCCAGTCCACGAGGGGCTTTCTGAGACTTCACGAAACTTCAATGATTGAATTACCCACAATTCAGTGTGATACAGACATGATGTTAATTTCTCCAACTGTGGACCAAAAAACCCCAAAACGTATTATGAATGTGTAAAACAATTACTGTGTTAAAATGCTAGTTGAATCATGTAAGTCAGAAATAATATTCGACTATTATTATACAGAAATATTCAGAAGTATAGACTACATTTTTATCATTGCAGTTAACCCTATAAATCAGTGTCGTGTAATGCCAAATACATACAGGTTAGGAAAACTGTCTGAATGATTGTCTCAGGTAAAACAATCCTCAGCCTTGGGTTTGATGTGAGGAGTATGACAATCACATAAGGCCAATACTGCAGCCATCACTATGTTTATGATTGTAGTTGCCTTGAGGCCTGTCTATTAGCGGCTTTTATAGCCTCGCAGCCTCGCAAGGCTTCTTTTTTTAGGCTTCTTTGCCTTAGTTTGACAGCTTTAAGCGTGAAAGGGGGAGAGAGACAAAGGGCCGCAGGTTGGAGCCGAGCCCACGGCCGCTGCGACAATGACATTGCCCTTGTACTTGGGATGCCCGCTTTACCCACGGAGCTACTGGGCACCCCACACTCTCGCAAAATTGATGTGATGACGGTGAACACGTCACAGTGCAAACGACTGAAGTCTGCGAGGGCTCATTCCACAACACTCTTAGTGTTGTTCACATTTCATTTATTCAGTAAACTTCTCAGTTGTATTTTCTGTACCTTTCATTTCTCAACACGAAGGTCTAAATGCTGTTTCCACCCTTGCCAAGACTAAAGCTCTGGTGAAAAGATTCTCAGTCCTTCATCATTTATTTATTTTGTTTTTGTTGGCCTAAAACTAGTCAAATCATCCAAACGAACACCCACTGCGAGGACTGGCCAAATGATGGATGTCCAATTTATTCCAACCTTGCCTAACAACAAGTACTACAACTCTATCGACAACAACAAATCTATGTTATTGTTGGATGGTCAAAGAAATTGGTTGTTTGGTGTGCAACCTTCTCTTATAGGGCATGAGTTAACACCATGATGACACTCATCATTTATAGGTTTAACGGCAGAATAAGAACTCACTCTGGGTTGCGACAAACCCCAAATTTCCAGAAAAGCATACAGAGAATATAACGTAAGTGTCCTCGATTGTATTATTGTATTATTATTTATTGTTACAACTACTTAAAATTGACTGACAACTGCTACATTTCACTGAAAACATTTTTCATTATTTCATGTGACAAATCAATTGAATTCAGTATTAAGTTTATAGTTTTTGGACAGAACGCAGTGATGTAACTGCTATTGATGACCATCTGCGCAGATCCATGTGGCGGAAATGATGCACATCTGCAGAAAATGTTCTACATGTTCAATTAGACATCACTCAAACTAACATTACAGGCAGAATGGTGACCAGGCAAAATAATGAGGTGCAGATATATTTCAACAAAATAAACAAAATGAATGTGCAGTGCAAGCTATATAAAGTCAAATTCTTGATCATAGCTAGTTTCTACTGTCTGTGGAGAGCAGAGAGGTAGACTAACCCCAACACACATCCAGTGTTTCTCTTGAGTTATCATTTCTGACCCCATTCTTACGTTCAGTTATTTTTTGGTTTTGTAAGTACTCTATTATGATTTAATGTGAGTTCCTGATTATGGAAATTACTCCAAATGCCAATCCCACTCACCACACCATTAGTATGTAGACATTTGGTCCACTTCCCCTGCTCTTGTGCCAATTATGCTGTCATTATTGTCATTCTGTTGGTACTAACCCAGTTTTAATTACGCTTATGAAATACTTGGCCTCCTTTTCTTAAAAGATAGACACAGGAGTAGACAAACAGCCAGTACAGAGACACAGGCACTGGCATACTATACATGCAGGTGTATGTGTGAACATTCTCAGGTTCAGCCCCGTCTGTCTCACCTTTGTTCTGTTGTGTGGGAGCAGTGGGTGCCGCCTGTAGGGGACTCTGCAAGGTGAATCATGCTGCTGTGAGCACACAGCACTGGCACAGAGAAGGTGACACAGGGCAACACTTGTTCTGTCCTTCAAAGGTCGCCGGATGAATCAACGTTATGTAAAAGGCCACCGAAAATCCACTTACTAAGGTCACTCTTACACAAAGGTTGATAAGAAGGAACATACAGGCAGCATTGAGGAAAGTTTCCTTCTGTAATACCCTCAGAATATTAAGTAGAAATGGTTTATTTGACAAGATGTTGGGGTCCAACAGGGCAGAGAGAAAAAAATAAGCACATTAGACATTCAAGAAAAAAAAAACTGTAATAACAGCTCATGTTTTATCACCAGTCAAGAAAATGAGATGTTCTCATTTTCGACTTGTTCCCCTCTCCCTCGTCTCGCACCTTCTCCCCCGATGTACTGTCGCTCCCACACATGTCTGGGAGTGTGACTGTTATGTGTAGCACTGGCTAGACTAGAGCCATGTGCCTCGGTACAGCAGATACAGACACAGACAGACAGACAGACAGACAGACAGATGGCAATAAATACATGCAAAGATTTACTCATAAATGTAAATATAAATGCAGACCCAGACAGAGCTCGGTATACCTTTTATTAGCTGACAACTCGGTGGCTGCATTTCGAAGAGATCAAAATCTTGTTGCTGGAGGAAAAAGGAAGAAGGGTTGTCCTCAAAAGAACTTACGAGGAAACATAATAGCAGAGTGCATTTAAGGACAGCGGGGAGGAAGCAGATAGGCACAAAGGAGAGGAAAGAAACCAACATAGAGGTAAAGAGAAACGATAAAGGGGACAGATTGGAGTACAGAAGGGAGTGATGGATAGTGGCTGGCAGAGAAAAGGGTGTTTTTGCTGGGGCAGCCCTTTATGAAACCTCCCCTACAGCTCACTGTCTGCACTGATGAAATGCTCTGCTGCATTTTAAATCAACTCAAAGCATCCATTGAAACTGTGCTGCTGAGAAGGGAGGAGAGTCTGTCACTCTTTGCTTTGTAATGACTGTTAAAAAGAATAACACCACAAGGCTACATTTAGTTGATATAGATGTTATACATAATCACATTTGTGCAGTCAAATCTGCTCAGTATTTTCCACAGTGTTAGTACATGCATCAACAGTGGGTCTGTCTTTCCTTGGAAAGTGCTGCCCTCTGCTGTGTGGAGCGCTGCATGAGAAAATATTTGCCATCTAGATGATATTACTCACCCCGGTGCCAGCCATTTTATATAACACATATTGTTATGTAAGGAAGAAATGCCAAAACTGTACATTACCACCATTCCTTTTCCATTTCCTACAATTTAATTCTCATAACTTGTAGAGCATCGCCTCTAATCACACAGATTCACTGCAGTCCTTGTCCACGACCAACTGGACATTTGGCTGTCCGTTCCCTTTCAGCGTGGCCTCTTCTTGGCTGCAGCTCTGCTGACTGCGCCAAGCTTTCTCCGAGGCCTTTAATTGTCTCTGGTAGCGCCGGTTTTCCTCGGGGTAGGAAACCACAGACAGAGGCAGTCTGCAGATGGCTGGGATCTCAGAGGAAATGAGGAGGAAGATGAGAGTCGACAGGCAGAAAGGCCATGTGCAGGCTGGTAATGCGAGCTGAAAGGGGATGTCATAGGAGAGGGGAGCATGACACATGTTGTGAAAGACATTTGTGTGTCCAGATTATGGTTATAGAATGTGATTTGGGAGGAACTTACCACAGACATCAGTTTTGAGATCGCTGCCATCACGTATGCGCAGAAAAGTGCTAGAAGAAAACACCGTAATGAAAATCATTTTCTGTGCGGCTACCTGAAGGAGGATAGCGATCATGCTGTTTGCTGATCTTACCACATATTACAGCCAATAGATGGGTTTGCCATGTTAGGACATAGAAGACTCCCCCAATGGCAATGCAGGATAGGGCACTGTTGTATCCCCACAGCCCAGAGTAAATGTCCTTGTGAGGCGCTGCAAGAGCAAATCCTGTACCATACAATAGAGACAAGCTCAAGATTCACCATGAAATTCAATATTAAACAGCAAACAATTGCACAAATGTCAGATCTGAAAACTGCATCAACAACATACACAGGCTGTACAGCATTATTTGAGAAAACATGCCATGGTTCATTCACCATAATGCCATGGTGCCCTTTGAAAAAGCCTGAGCTCCCGCTGTAGCCTCTCAGCAGACATTATGCATATTTTTATGCAGATGGGAGAATCTCTTTACCAGAAAGCATGCCAGCAGCAGAGCCCCACATGGCATGAAAACAGATAGTTGGTGAGGAAAGCAGCAGGGCCAGAAGGATGAGACCTCCTGTCCAAGGACTGTCGCAGCCATACACCTGGCCCACACCAACTGGCACTGACAGGAAGAGCTGCAAATGGAAAGCCTCCATTTACTTACTTTTATAAAAAAAAATAATGTATGCAGTAAAGCCACTCTTATCATTAAGACGGTTGATTTTTAAAGAGCTACTGGACCAATAACATTACTGTTATACTTGAGATATATTGAGGCTGTCCATGGTGTTATTAGGAAGGTGCAGATGGTGATTTGACTGAAAATCCACCTGAAATTGCACAAGAAAAGATTACATTATCAAATGTAGCTAATCATTGTGTATGTGCATCATTGTTTGTATAGCAGGGCTGTACTGTACCTCTGGGAAGTAAGGGTGATTGGCTCCTGTAGCTGCAACATGTAGACACACCAAAATGTTAAAGGGCAGGGTGAATATAGGGAGGTCCCATTTGCTGGAAACTGAGGACAAAGCACTGGAGACCACCGGGCTGTGAACAGAGGAAATGGTTACCTGATTGGACGGAAAGGCAAACTAGAACATACTGACATTATGGTACCCTCGCCTATGTTATTTATGTTTTCCTTAAGGATGGAACTGTATGTACAAAGTTGAACGTTTGTACAGCCTAATTTAACTCTGTGAATTACTGTTTCAACCAGCCCACTCCCAATGCGTCAAATGGCGCCCAACACCGACACAAAGAATCATGTTTTTAAGTTTATAATGCCGGTGGATGACATCAGTTTAAAACACTGCCAGTAACAACGTAATGTAAGAAGCTGAAAAGACCCTATAGGGCGGGCGGGAGGGACGGTGGATGGGTGGATCGGTTGTCTGTCTCTATGTGTCAGCCCTGCGATAGTCTGGCGACCTGTCCAGGGTGTACCCCGCCTCTCACCCAATGTCAGCTGGGATAGGCTCCAGCCCCCCCGCGACCCTCAAGAGGATAAGCAATTACAAAATGGATGAACCAGCAGTGGTGGGATGGTGATTTGAACGGCCTCACTGAAACAGATTTCATCAAAAATTTGTAAATTTCAAGGACTACTTTTAATTACATATGTCAGTTCCTCTCCACAAGACTTTCCTGGCAGGACACTCGGTGCAGAATTGTGATAAATGAACGCAGCCAAAAGGTCTGGATTTTCAGGGTTCTTGTTTTAAAATACAAAAATCAGACAGTGTTTTCCACCTACTCACAGAGTTGGATGTTTGCTGGCTAGAAATGAGAGTCTGCTATTGTTTCAAGTTGAAAAGTGTGTGCAATCAAACGAATCGAATGAAGTTTAGGGGAACACTTACCACAACATGGACATGAACACATTTGGCAATAACAGCCACCAGTACCAGCTTCCTTTGGTGGAGAAAACAGCCATCAGTATGCCAACCAGGGTTCCATTGTAGCCATATAAACCCGCTGATATGGCTTTCCTGCGGAGAATGTGACAGATGTGTAAAACACATTAAAATGAGAAACACACTGTGAAAATAGCACATTGTGAAAACTAAAGAAATGTGTAGCCCCGGGGAGTTTAAGTGGAAGAGACAGCGATAATGACTTAATGGCAGGATGAAAATGTTTGGTTTTTTTAACGATGAAGTCAAACAAACATATGGAGATGTAATTTGACCTGTTTTGTCCCAGCAAGAGTGCAGACACTGTGGACACAAAGGTACCCAGCAGGCCGTTCAGAGCCCACCAAGGGTCCTGCAGGAAGAGGCCGGCCGTGATGAGGAGCCCACTGACAGGGTTGTTGACGAACATGACCTGGGCCACCCCTCGGAAAATCCAGTCCACTAGTTGGATTGCCAAAACCTGTCCTGTCAGAGATTGATAGTGATGTCATTTGTCATCACCTGAAGTACATTACAAAAGGCTTAAACTGAACCTATATTAAATTCTTAAGCACATTCACTCAAAGTGTAGCTGACATGACCGCTCATCACCTACTTTTAACCCAGTCTGCACAGAGATGCATGTCCCCGGTGAAAAGCCCGAAAGCTCTGACGAGGACGGAGCGAGCTGGAGATTCTTCATGTGAAGGCTGGTTGCTGTTGTCCATACTTGCTGTCAATAGAGTTTATTGAAATTTTAGTACAACAATTTGTACAAAACAGGCTTTTAGTAAACTACAAAAAAGACACAAAATTGCCCCAAAGAGACACAAAACAAACACAAAGAGACACAAAAGCACCAAAAGATGCAAAATGACTACAAAGAGACGCGAAACCACCACAAAGTCTGTGTGTCTCACTCCTGTGTTAGAGAGGTGATGGGCCCTTCTGTATATCTGTGTCCAGGAGCCCATTCATTCATATTTTGCCCATGACTATACTATATACAGTACTGTATCTGGCCACTGTTGCGATTGAAATGTTGTCAGTCGGTCCTTCACTCTGGTCCAGACTGCAAGATCTTAACAGCTTTTGGATGTATTGCCAATAAATTTGAAACAGATTGTGACCCCTGCCAAGCTTTGACATAACTACAACTCAACAAAGCCAGCAGTTGGTGCCATAACAGGCTGGTTTATTACACTCAGTGAGTGAGTAATAGCAGTGACCTGCTATTAATTCTATAAAGGAAGTTTAAAGTGGAGGCATCTTGCTGCAGGAGTGTGGTGCACCAATCAGAAGGCTGATGCACTGGAAGTATACTGGCAGTGGATAACCAAACACCACACACAAGATAAACCCTTTTTTCCCCAACAAAAAAACACACCAACTACACATATTAATCTCATTCTAACCACAGGTTAACACAGATTGATATTAAGATCCAGTGTGGATTTAGGGGCATTTATTGGTAGAATTGGTATATAATATTCATAGCTATGTTTTCAGTAGTTTATAATCACCTGAAAAAAGGGAATCACAGTGTTTTCATAACTTTAGAATGAGCCATTTATATCTACATACAGAGCGGGTCCTCTTCCACGGAGTCCTCCATGTTATTCTACAGTAGCCCAGAATGAACAAATCAAACACCGGCTCTTGATAGGGCCAGTGTTTCCTCTGACATTTTTGTGTTTCAAATAGGCCATCATAGTTCCCCCACATGCTTGGCACATGGGAGAAGTTTCAGTTTTAGATGCCACTAAATCATACAAACTGGACCTTTAAAAAGGAATTCTCATACTTTGTCACTGCCAATACACCAGGACTGTTATGACCCTTTACAAAGGAAACAACAGTTTCTTGGCAGACCCACCATTCTGCAATAAAAACCTGTAATAAATACCTCTAGTTTGTAGGATTTAGTGGCATCTAGCAGTGAGTTGCAACATTGCAACCAACTGAAACTTCTCCTGTGTGCCAAGCGTGTAGGAGAACTATGGTAGCCAACGTGAAAGCGTGAATGGCCCCATATAGAGCCAGTGTTTGTTTTGTCTGCTGTGGGCTAATGAAGGACCAACAAACTCCGTGGAAGAGGACTCACTTTGTATGTAGCTCATTTGTAGGTAACAAAAACACAATGATTCTTTATTTAAGGTGATTATACAATAATGAAAACATAGTCATGAATATTTTATTCAATTTCTGCTCATATATCCCCCTGAATCCTACACACTGGACCTTTAACAATCAAATAATCCTATTTAAAACACCAAGAGTTTGTTTGTCATAACAAAGAAGCATATGGATGGGAGCAGGAATGAAGCTGACACACCTGTGCTTCATGAGCCCCTTAACAGTTCAGGTGCTTTCACCTTAATTGGCCAAATTTTGCCTGGGTGTTAGTGTGCCCCTACTCCAATCTAGTCATGGTCCCCAGAGGATGAATCTTAATAACTCTGATGACCCTCTGACTTTTCATCTTATAGGGTGCCAGGTGAACCAATTTTCACGTTTCTAATTCACAATGAAAATAAATTGATTCACACTGGTAATTTCTTTTTGTACTATGAATGCAAAAAATGGGCCAGAGTGCATTAAAAAAAAATCAGCGAAGGATCCCCTTGAATGCCCGACAGAAGCTAAGCCCAGAATGTGCTCAAATCCTAGAAACTGGCCTCTGGCTTGATGTCATTTTGCAAAAGTGGACCCCGGGCACAGGGTTAGTTAAGTTAAGTATCCCTGGTCTTGTTTTTACTTATCCTGTGACATATCTCAGTATATTTATCTATTGGACAGATTGGCACTTAATTTTGTAAACACTCATGGTGCACAGAGACTGTATCCTTTATCTTTGGTGATCCCCAGACATTGGTGGTTTTAGTAAAATGTCTCAACAAATGTATGGATGATTCATCTGGCAAAGTACAGCTTTGCCTTGGCTGAAGACTCTCAGTCTTATTCTGCCTCTAAGCTTCTACAGTCCACGTGTTCATTAGACTTAAAATATTCATTTAGACCTTGATATTGTCAGATATCGACATCCACCCTTCCCCTGTAACTCAGAAATAGACAAGTCGACGCCTTTCTGCCCACAAACTAAATGTGAACATGATTCCCTTCGCTCCCTGGGGTGGAAACAATTCCGACAGAGAAGTGTGAGCTAAAATCTAAACTTCACTGCCAGTTTGCCACGTCGTTTTCTATTCTTTTTATTTTCAGATTTTTTTTGAAGAAGTGATCAAAGCAGATTTCCCAAAGAGCTTCCCACTGTTACCGTCAACATCCACAGTCACAGTTCTCTGCATGAAAGCCTGGGTGTGTTTCTGTTGTTGAGTGAACGGTGAACCTCTTGATCTTTCAGCTCTGTCTGCAGCCTCTTTTCTTCTGTGCCACAATACTTCTTAAGAATTAACAAATATGGAAGCAGCTGAACACAACTCTGCACTAACTCTTGTGATTCAATGTTGGATCGAATACAAAACAATCAGTATATTACCTTGAGGTAGCTCAGACCATGATACTGCTATCTTCGAGCCATCATATTGTTATGGCTTTGCAAATCGTGATTGCTTGATTATTGTCTTGTTTTGTGCTGTTTCCTTTCTTTGTGCATTTTTGATAGCACCCTTGGGAGTTGCTTTTTTCTCACTCGGTGCTGGGGATTGCTGCTGTGGCGCACAAACTGTGTACACACACACTCACTGCCTCTTGAATACCAGGGTTAGTGTTTATTCATTAAGATAAAAATAGCTCGTTGACTGGCAGTAGTGCCCCCAGATATGGCTGGCCAGATGGGGCTTCTAAAGATCTTGGGATGGCAACCATAACTGAATGTCATGAATTTGATTATGCTGTTGTAGTACATAGGGAAGTTAAAACTATGTCAATATGAGAGTTAAGGAATCACATACTGATACATTTTTGTTCCTTATTTTCCATGTAATAATATTGATTATTTGCTGTGCATAGACTAACACCAGCACAGTTAATATTTTGAGTCCCACAACAATCCTGTCTTTATGTGTTATGTATCAGTACATGTCTTAGGTGATTCATTGTTCAAATAAGCTGGGTGTCCTTTTCTTAAAAAAGACAAATATACAGCTTTCCTTTGAAGGAGTACATTTATAGTAAGGAACAAAATATTTACTGGAAACAAGCCTTCTCTAGTTTAGGGGAGATTCATGGCTACCCACAAAACCCATTTTCATTCAGATACCTTGAGGTGAGAGTTCAAGGACCATGCCAGTTGTTCCTTTGCCAAAATTTAGCCCCCTTCCTGATAAGCTATGCTGAATTGGTTGGATGCCTTAAAATCATACACATTACGCGTCTTTAACTGCCTGGAAAACGTGAGGTCAGGCACTGGACATTACTTTTGTGCCTTTTTTTGAGCCATCTTCCAAGAGCGCAGCGGCAGGTTGCGTCTGAGGTTGCTAAGCAACCTTTACAAGCACCGTATCAAAGCATATTTATCTTAAATCCTGAGTGCAGAGCTGATCTTTTTCTGACTGATATTTACAGAAGAAGAGAAAGATAATTGTTGGCTGTGATTGGTTGTTCCTTGTAACATGATGTGCGGTGCACGCTGCTGCCTTCCAAAAGTTGAAATCGGTTTATCTCAAAGTGTAGCCATCGCTCCCTGAAAAATGGGCACTCAGGAACGCGTGCACACTGCTCTGGCAACGCTCTGGCATTTGAGCGTGCCTGCCATGCGTCTACATTGAAAACAGTGAACTTGAGGGTGCAAAAAAACTAGTCTAGTTTCACAAGATTGCACTACCTTTGCACTGGCTGAAAAATCAAGCCATAGCCCCTTAAAGACATTAAAGTCTGTCTCAAATTATCTTAGCTAGGAGGAACCAGTTGGGAGAGCTAGTGAGGGGTGCAGCAATTGTATTGGGGGACCAGGCCCTCCCACCCTCTCCCTCTTGGAGGCACCGCTGTTGGGTGGTGGCAGCTTGTCTAATTTTATGTAAATCAATTTTTTCAAAGGCCACCTAAACTCTACAGTGACTAACCAACATAAAACAGTGAGTCTAGCTATTCAGTCAATCAACCAATAAATCAATCAGTCTATAGATAGAGATAAATAGTCTTGTCTCAGACAAGCTGCAAAAATCTAGTGGTCTTGGCTGATGTAGTAATTTCTGATTCATTACCGATCAATAAATATTCCCAACATACAATCAAGTAGTAAAGAGTGGGCATATATTGTGCTGTTATTGAATTTCCATTTCCATCTTATTATTTCTTGTTAATACAATAGCACTTTCAGTAAAATGAAGCTGCACTTTATCCAAGTTGAGTCATTTAACCTCTTATGTAAGAGAAATTAAAGGATTTTTTTTCTTACCTCTGTGAAGTGAAGATGAATCACAGCTCTGTTATCTACCAGCTGAGTTAATGAAGGCGCACATACTTGATTAAAGAAAAGCCAGATATAAAGGAATCTGCATGATGTTCCATAGCCTCTTCGTGTCTATATTAAAGCTTCAAACTCTCTTCATCTTTGTCTCTTCTCCAGGGGACCTCCTGCCCTGAGCAAGGACCAAAGTCTCTCTATTCATCTCAGCAGCTAATCAGGGGGAAGAATGTTCTTATTAGGAAAGTATTTCCTGCTCAGGCAAAACAGTGGCCTTTGTTTCTTTAGTATCACCTTCTGAGCAAAAGGGGAATGTGCCAAACTCATGAGGGGACAAGTTATGAAAGGTATGCACAGTCTCAAAATCTGAGGAAAAATAAAATAAATCCTGATATCACCTTTTAATTAAACATGAACATGAATTTCAATAAAGTTTAAAGCCCTTTATTTTAACCAGGTTCATGACTACATAGATATGAAATGATCAAGATGCCAAGGACCAAGTGATGGAAAGAGAAAATATGGTTACACTGAGCTTTAAGTTAATTTTCTATAAGGCACAGTCTGGAATTTTAATCATACAGAATATGGTCTGATCATCTTCTCTCCACAAAAGGAGCACAAATAAACATGATTGTTAAACAAATACAGACAGTTTATGATCAAAATGTAGAAAAAGGTCAGTAGAGGTTGATCCAAAGTGAGAACTTCCCATGCGGTTGTTTGAACTGGAATAGATTTAAGCTAAAATCTCCACTGTATGGGAGCAAAATACTGTTCTTATAATGATGATCCTTATATTTTGAAAATACATGGAACTTAATGGAAACTGTTCATTATTAAAGTGGAAATAAACATGTCTTTTTGCTTCAGCTTTTTATAAAGTAAATGTTGATTGCACAATGTAGTGGCCATAGAATAATGACATCATCTGCATGTACATTGGTTCCTTATAGGCCGCGCTTTCATTTTGCAATTCTATCTGCCACCAGATGTGAAAATGAAGGCTCAATTTACAGTGCAAAGCAAGTGCGTCAACCACTGCGCAAACAAAACAGGAAGAGGATAGCGCTTTGTTTCCCTGGTAGCTACTGTAGTTACGAAAGAGGATCAGTCTATGATCAGTTACTATACCCAGAAGTGAAAATGGCGAACAGTGGTTACTGTGGAAACTCCACCTGGGAAAAGAAAAGGAGCCCCGTTGCTAGGCCCTGAGGAAAACAGAAAGTGATTTGGTTCTCTATGCGACAGCAGCACTAACAAAAATACCACTTGGAGACGTCAGGAGACGTTGGAAACTTGTCTGTTTCCACTTTAACCGTATGATATGTTGCATTATGTTATCTTATGTTACATGTTCTTGTGTTGTGTTTCTTTCCTTATAACGTGATGTTGTATCATGTTCAGTAAGAATCATCATAACTTATAATATTCAGCATGGCACATTCGGCTGGAGTCTTTCAGAGATGATTAAACAGGAGGACACAGATAGAAAAGAAAACAGACATGATAATATGCACATACAGTACAAAGATTGTCTGGTTTTATATGCACTAAAACTGTACACATCAGTACACAAACAGACAGACACACACAAACACTCACACACATACACACACACACAGACACTCGCTTACACATTCACACATTCCCACACAGAAGCAGTCTTTAGAGATCTGGTGTCATATTTTTGTCTCGACTTCAGAGTGAGTCAACGCCGTGCTGAGTGCTGAACTCCTGGAAATCCTCTGGGATGGTGTCTGTGGAAGTGAGAAGTCAGGTATCATGAGACAAACTCCGACTCTGAAGCCCAGCGAGGCCAAACTAATTCTATTCACAGCTGTAGTCCCGTTTATGCAACAACAACATAAAATCTAAGCACTATACCTGTCCCACTTTCCAGACTTTCCAGCAATTGAAAATTTTCAAAATAAAAATGTGTGGATTTTTGATGATGGTGTTCCTGTCTTACCGTTGCAGCGGTATTTCAAATTGGACCAGATGATATTTTCTTGAGAGAAACAGAACACGCCGAGTCGTCCTCCTCTCATGGTCGTGTCAATAGTCACACCGGAGTCTGCCACCAGCTCTGTTCCCTCATAAAACCGAGCCCTACAGAAACACAAGACGTTTTAGAAATCTATATCCTGTGTTCTACTCCCAACATTTTGGGAAAACGCTTATCCTTGGTGCGTTCCATTTACACTTGGAAGTTGGATTTTCAAATGAAACGCCTCCTGAAGTCAGATTACCAGCTTGGAAAGTTGGAGCAACCTCACTAACCCCGACCTTAAAATCCACAATAGCTGCTCTGCACATCAGCAGTAGTGAACGCTGTAGTAAAGTCCTGTTTATTAGCACTTCTGTCTTTCTTGTGTCCCATTAAAACAGTCGTACACTCAGTGCGGTCCAACTTTTGTTTGGGGACATGTTGCTACGGTGTTTGTATGCGCACAATACAGCGTAATGGGTTGTTATTAATTGGTATTGCTAACCATGGCTAACCTAGCTTGAACTGGTATTGCTAACAACATTATATTTTTACAGCTTGTACTGGAATGGGATCAACTTGGGTGTGAGTCCCATTTCCGACTTCAGAGGCAAATGGAACGCAGCATCATTTTCATGCAGAGAGTTAAATGGGAGGCAGCCAGTTAGCTTAGCTTAGCATAACATAGCATAATGAATGTAATTGGGTAACAGGTAACATAGCTCTTTGAATATTACCTATACCTTGGCATAAAGCCAGGCTTGCTGTGTCCCCCTGTTTCCAGTCTTTATGCTAAGCTAAGCTAAGTGGCTGCTGTAGCTTCGTATTGAACAGACAAATATGAGAGTGGCATCTTCTCATTTCCCTCTTAGCAAGAGCGCTAATAAGTGTGTTTCCCAAGATGTTGATCTATTCCTCTAAACAATGGAGAACCAGGCAGTTTCAATATGTGCTTGCATGGAATCAACATGTGAACAAATATCTAGAACATGTTTGTCGTACCTGATGTATCCGACCTGTGGGCGGTGCTGCAGGTACCAACGGTAGGACACCTTGTCCTTCCAGCCAACATTTCTGGGATCCTTCCACAGCAGACGCACCTGATCGTTGGTGTCTCCCGTGTGCCACAGTGAGTTTCTCAAGTGCTCCCCGGGGCCCGATCTAGACTTCACAGCCTGATAAGCAGTGACAGATAACAGAGAGAAGTGAGTGGGATGTGG